ATAAATTGAAATGCTGCTCTCATTCTCATTAGTGATGCACCTCATGTCACAAAGCAGCTGAGAGAAATCATCTGTACCTTTCACACTGCTGGCAGCCCCCAGGTCAGCCAAGGAAGAGATGACTCAGTTTCTTTCACTCATAAAGAAAAGCACATTTTGGGAAATCGATAAATATTATCCTCATGCAAACCAAACCAAACCAAACAGCGCAATTGCAGGTGAATTTAATTCTGGAGAGGAATATTTCTGGGGACAACGTCCATGGCAAAGTTAAGGCTGTACAGCATCACATGGCAGAGTGAGGGGAGGCTTCCAGAAACCCTGAAATTGGTTTGAAAAAACTTTCCTTTGAGAGGGAGCTGGGGAAAGCTGCAGGTGCCTCTTGTCCCTGCTGCCTCCTCGGTCTGCACTGGCAGCAGGAGCTCCAGCACAGAGCTGAAGTGCTGCAAGCACCTGCACAGCACCCTGAGAATTCCAGAGGGATTTCCCCATGGAAAGGGAGCTCAGGCTTTGGCAGGGGCTGCTCAGGGGGGTTTGCAGTGCCCATCCCTGGAGGTGTCCCAGGAATTCCTGGAGGTGCCACTGAGTGCTCTGGGTGGGGACAGGGTGGGGACGGGCACAGAGTGGACTGGATGTTCCTTGGAGGTCTTTGCCAACCTCAGTGACTCTGGGATGCTGGGATTCTGGGATGCTGGGATTCTGGGATTCTGGGATTCTGGGATTCAGGGATTCAGGGATTCAGGGATGCTGGGATTCTGGGATGCTGGGATTCTGGGATTCTGGGATTCAGGGATTCTGGGATTTTGGGATTCAGGGATTCTGGGATTCTGGGATTCTGGGATTTTGGGATTCAGGGATTCTGGGATTCTGGGATTCTGGGATGCTGGGATGCTGGGATGCTGGGATGCTGGGATGCTGGGATGCTGGGATGAGGTCCAATTACATTTCTGCACATTCCTGACAGGCAAAGCCAAAGGCCAAGTGTTCCCTGTAAACACAGCTCTGGTTATTCCCTGCATTGTGTATAATTCCATTTATCACCAGGAGAGGGACAGTGCCCCAAACGCCCGCCTGGCCCGGAGGTGGCTCCAGGGATGGCTGAGAAACGCCACAAATCCGGGCTGGGGAAGGGAAGGGAACGTGCAGGGATCCTGCATTGCCACCTGCGGGCCGCTCCCTGCACATCCCTGTCCTGCGGACCCACCTGCACCAGCCCGCTGGAAAAGGGGCAAATATCCGGGCAAGCTCTTCTTAAAATCCAGAGGAAAATACTCCATCCATTCACTGAAGCCGTGGTTTCCAGAGGGGGCTGGTGGATCTGCAAGGAAACGAGGATGAAGATTCCATCACCATCAATTCTGGTAAGTGTAAAATTCCTAAAAATATTTATGCAGCGTTTATTTAGTTGAAATATTGATAAGTGATACTTTTCAAAAGGCTAATGCAACTTTATCTGACTAAAATTAAGGTTTTCAAGCTTTCATGGGCAATGTAAACATCTCCATCACTCGTACAAGAGCAGCCTGGTAAGTAAAGTTATGGTTTTATTTATAAAAGAAATGACAGAATCTACTTTAAATTATTTTTTAAAAAAAGATAGTAATCTAATTGATGATGAGAAAGCAGCTATAAAGTGTTTTAATGAGTTCCAATCACTGTCACACCTGCTACCTCCCACTACTCCAGTAGTAAAGTGAAACTGAGAGCTGTTTCAGAAGCATGTTTGGAATGACAACACGCAAGACCTGGAAATGGCTTCTATAAATTCTGCCTAAAACATCTCTGTCCCTCATCTGGAACACACCTCTGGGTGTGCACATACATGTGTCCGTATAAACACATATAAAAGGATGAGTTTAAACATTTTATTGATTTTTAAGAATTTCTAACCCTTACATAGTGAAGTTAGAAGTGTTTCACAAAATGAGAAGTTTTCAGCAGGGCCTGTAGCAATAGGACAAGGGGAACTGATTTAAACTAAAAAGGAGAGATACAAACTAATGATATGGGAGATTTTTATTAATGTGAGGGTGGGCAGGCCCTGGCACAGGGTGCCCAGAGAAGCTGTGGCTGCCCCTGGATCCCTGGAAGTGTCCCAGGCCAGGCTGGACAGGGCTGGGAGCAGCCTGGGATGGTGGAAGGTGGGTTGGGATGAGATGAAGTCCTTTCCACCTAAACCATCCTGTGATTCCATGACTCCTTCAGTCCTCCTTTGGGCAGGTAAATGCCCATTTCCCTAAGAGTCTTCATTTCCCAGTCAAATTGCTAAGGAGCCATTTTAAATTTGGAGATAACCTTTCTTCACCAGCAGGGATTTGGTCTCCAAGGAACAGCACCAATACCTTGAGAACCAAACTCTTGGTTCTCAGAATTGCAGATACTTCACAATGAAAAGAACAAGAGGGCAAAGCAGCACAGATACATTTCAGCTGGCTCTGAATCAATCTCATGAAAAATATTGTAAAGACAAGATCAAATGAGCAGAGTCATTGATAAAATCCTGGAGAATGGGCAAACAGAGGGGATTTTCCTTTCCTGTGGTGAGAGCAGAGCGTCCCAGTTGCTTTGCTGCTTCAAGGGAGCACAGAGGCTGCAGCTTTGTCAGTGCTCAAATCAGAGCAGGTGCAATGCCCCACTGCCTTGTCCAAGTCCTACAGTCCATCAATTTTAGCTATTACAACTGTTCTAGAACATCATTATTAATTTGGTTCCTTGGAACCTGCTCACTGCAGTAAGATTTCAATGTATCATGCACAGCATCTGGGGGAAAAGTGATGTGCACCAGAGGAGTGAAGAGCAAAACTTTGTAAACTCTGCATTTCTTCTCTGTCTTTTGCCTTATTCTGCTTTTCTCTGCTTCTTTTCCTGCCCTGCATATATTTCCCCACCAAGATGCTGAAGCTGCAGAGTGATGTAAAGCAGCAGGGCTGGTATATTGAACCAAGCAACACAAACCACAAAAGGTTAATGCCACAAACCAATTTGTGTGTGCATTTTCCCGTTGTTTACATTGCTCCAAATTTTGCTACCCTAATCCATGTTAATATTCATCTCAGTTTTATTTTCTTTCCCTGTTTTTTTTTTTCCAAAAGATCTGCACAATGATGGATTTGTACAAGGGGTTTCAGGTCTTGCTAAGCTTGAATTGAATCTCTCAAGCTCAGCAGTGCTGTGGTTTATTAACTTGCAGTGCCACCTAGCACACAGCCCTCACATTATTCTTTCTGTAGCTTCACAAAGGACAGCTCAAAGCTTTTGCATTAAAATAAAAAAGACAAACTTATGCTTGGAGTATTTAAGGACCTAATGCAAAGTTTTGTTTTGAACAATTAAGTTTTATTAGAAAATGCAAGTCCGTGACACCAAGGGCGAAGGACAGGATCTTGTTCTGACCTCATCTCTGCTGATAACCCAGCCCAGCCACTCAGAGCTCCCTGGCCAGAGCAGCTCCTCATTCACAATGTCAACACACCCCAACATTGCAACAGGGCTTTGGCAGCAATACAAATCGTTAAGTTTTAGTGCTTATCTTCAAAATTCTAAATAGAATTTCTTCCAGTGAACAGAGAAACCACTACACGTTTGGAGTTCAAGAATTAAAGCAAGTCAAAACAAAAGATAAGCCTGCAAAAATAAGAATGGTTTGGGCTTGGTTATGATTTTATGACCCTTGATTGTTCAGCCTATCTTCAAAGAGTCCAGCACTGCCAAGGGCTGCATTTACAGAACACATAGGCAAGACAATCTTGGAACAAGGGAAAAGACTTCACACACAATTTCTACACGCTCAGATTTAGAATCAAGGAGTTTTCCCTTGTCCCAAAATCCTTGGGTTCACCTTGCCTGGAATGACTGAAAAGAATCCCTTTGTCAGGTCAGAGGGACATGTGACACAGCACCCACTGTGGGTATTCCAGAATTACTGCTACTGCTGCCTTTTACATTTCAGTCTCTTCTTGACATCACAGTGAAGAAATCACAGCGAAGACAGAAAAATTTAAACCCAGGTCAGGCATTTCAAACAAGCCCCCCTGGTTTCTAATTCCCAAGAGAGGAAACCCCCAGGATCCTGACACTGTGACTGAGCTGTGCCTCCACAACCCAGTGACTCCTGGGCACACACCACAAACACTGATGTTTACTCTAAGTCCTGGCCTTTCATGTTGTCATTGTCCTCTGAACTGCAAGATCTGGCTCTGTTTACAAACCCACTACTGTTCCCTCATGAGACTGCCATTGCTAGAACCATGGCAAGTTATAATGCAGCTGGGAGTGTGGCTGTTCTCAAATTTATTTTACCAAAATACACCTTTTCAACTACTAATTATAATGGTACTATTCTTTTTTTCTCTCCGGTACAATGTGAAGATTAGTCATGACAGGTGTTCTTTTCCCACTCAGGAAGTAAAGAAATCCATACCTCAATTAATATAAGGAGATAATTACTACACTGAGGTGATGAGGCCTCAGGCAACTCTGTTGAGAAGCTATTTATTTCTATTTCTTTCCATGCAGTTAAGTACAGCCGCTCCTCAGATGTGCAGAGCTCTTTGTGCCAGCACCAATTGGCCAGAGCAAATTCATCTGGGGAGCTGCAACTGCCACAGCAGCAGGGAGCAGCTCAGGAAACAGGTCTTTGTGCTTGCAGGAGGGAGAATAAATATCTGGTTTTCCCTCTCTCACCTCCTCATTATCTCTCAATCTCTGAAATCTTCTAAGCACTGATAAAAGCATTTTCTGTCTGTTTTACAGATTTTCCAGGGTCAAACTTGTGTCTTATTAACAGCTGAGCTCAGTTTCTCTATTGAAGCTGGGGAATCCACTGCTTTGCCATCCAACAAACGAGGATGGCTGGCTCTGGAAGTTCTTAGCACCCTGGTGCTGTTCTAGTCCGTAAATACACACGGCTTCTACAGAGAATTGAAAGGTGTGGACCACCATGGTCTCATGAGTGCTGTCCTGGCAATTCCCTGTGACAGATTAATAGCGCTACAGACCAGCTAGAGATTAACAGCAATTCTTTTTTTATTCATTTCATGCACTGTTTCAATTTGTTAAGCAGTTTGGAGACCGAGTAAAAACGTGATTCCTGTACTTTGTTGTTTTCCAGGTTACAATTGCTCATTAGGATATTCTCGATCGTCACGTGCACAAGTAAGTAGTTATGCCAAGTTTTTACTATTAAATCATAACCAAGGAACATATTTCTTTCCACTTGCATGGATGGATTTACATTTTTATAAAAATAATCAGCTACAAAAATACACATTTTTCTTGGGGGAAAAAAAAAAAGGCAACATAAAAAAGCAGTATGGTATTTGTGTTTGGTTTTTCCACGTCATACAGCCATCACACAGAGGAGATGGAACCCTCCAGAACTTACTCTGAAAACCTGTGGTTTTTTTCACCATTTAAAATTCTAGTACTGAGGAAACGTCGAGTCAATTTTAGTGGCCCAAGCCATGAGCCCCCCTTTAATATCCTTAACCAACACAGAACCAAATTCTTTGGCAGGTAACTCCTGCAGAATTTTCACAGCCTTCTGGGAATCATTTCCTAACTTGCAAACAACATATACAGGGAGAGAGGTTCGGTCATCAGTTCTCTGCCTTTCTTCGGAAATTCTTTTTTGTAAACGCCGCAGAGACTCCTCATCTTTCTCTTGCAGTTTCCTCAGCGGGATGTGCAGAGCGTGCTCCAGGCGGCAGATGTCCACCTCCACCTGCGGCCGCACATCCAGCAGCAGGTGCGGGAGCCGCGCATCCAGCAGCTCTTTGTAGCGCTGCACGGAGATCCTGTCCCCGCTGGGCAGCAGCCGCAAGCTCCGGCACTTGTCGGTGGCGGAGGAGCCGCAGAACGCCTCGTAGTCCTGCAGGCAGGTGATGCTGGGGCTGTCCCCGCACGCCGCACAGTCCGCTTTCCTCGGCCGCAGCTTGATGTTGCGGAACCTCCCCTCCAGGGCGTCGAACATCAGCATGTAGCGGTTGAAAGAGGAGCCCATTCCCGAGGCGATCTTCAGCACCTCCAGCGCCTGCATGCAGCCGATGATGCCGGTGACGACGCCCAGCACTCCGCCGTCGGCGCAGTTGGTGACGGCGTCGGCCGGGGGCGGCTCGGGGAACAGGCAGCGGTAGCAGGGCCCGCCGCCGTGGTTGTACACCACGAGCTGCCCCTCGAGGCGCAGGGCGCTGCCGGACACCAGCGGCTTGCCGGCCAGCACGCAGGCATCGCTGACCAGGTAGCGGGTGGGAACGTTGTCGGAGCAGTCGGCCACGATGTCGTACTGGCGCACGAGGCGCAGCGCGGAGCGCGGCCGCAGCGCGCCCCGGTACGGCACGTACTGCACGGCCGAGTTCAGCCGCCGCAGCGCCGCGGCCGCCGAGCGCGCCTTGGGCCGGCCGCGCCGCGCCTCGCCGTGCAGCACCTGCCGCTGCAGGTTGCTCGTCTCCACCACGTCGTGATCCACCAGCCCCAGGCGGCCCACGCCGGCCGCCGCCAGGTACTGAGCCAGCGGACAGCCCAGCCCGCCGCAGCCCACCACGAGCACGGAGCTCCGCGCCAGGCGCAGCTGCCCCCGCACGCCCAGCTCGGGCAGCACCAGCTGCCGGCTGTAGCGCAGGATCTCGGCCGCGCTCAGCGCCGAGCGCGCCGGCAGCGGCGGCAGCTCCGCGGGGAAGCCCAGGGCTCCCTCCTCGTCGTCATCATCCTCATCCTCCTCGTCGGCATCCCCCGAGTCCCCCCGCTCCGACTCGGCCGCAGGGGGCTGCCGCGGCCCGCGGGCTCCGTCCTCATCCTCGGCATCCCCCGCGTCCCCCCGCGCCGGCTCGGCCGCAGGGGGCTGCCGCGGCCCGCGGGCTCCCTCCTCCTGCTCCCGCTCTCCGTCCTCCTCCTGCTCGGCCGCGTCCCCCCGCGCCAGCTCCGCCGCCAGCCGCTCCCGCAGCCCGCGCAGCTCCCGCTCCCGCCGGCGGATCTCGGCCCGGAGCCGCGCTGCCGCCGCGCCCGCCATGGCCGCGCCCGCCCCGGCCCCGCCGCTTCCGGCACGTCACTGCCGCCATGGCGCGGGGCCCCGAGCGCGTCTCCGTGCTGCTGCCCACCTACAACGAGCGCGACAACCTGCCCCTCGTCGTGTGGCTGCTGGCGCGCACCTTCACCGACAGGTACCGGACACAGCCGCGGCGTGGGCAGCGCGGGCAGGGACGGCTGTGGCCATAGGGCTGCGGGATGCCCGGCTCCCGAGCCACACGGCGTTGGGAAGGCGGTGACGCCGTCCGTGTCCCCAAGCCGCCGTGAGACACGGAAACGCTGGAAAATCCCTCCCAGCCCATCAGATCCCAGCTGGGCCCCATCCCCGCCCTGTCCCCAGCACCGAGTGCCACCTGCAGCCCTTCCTGGGACACCCCCGGGGATGCTCCAAACCTCCCTGGGCAGCCCCCGCCCGTCCATCGGGAAATCATTCTCGTTTCAGTGGGATCGATTTTGAAATTATCATCGTAGATGATGGAAGCCCGGATGGCACACAGGAAGTTGCTCGGCAACTGGAAAAAATATATGGATCAGATAAAATAGTGAGTTGTATATTCGGTAACATTTTTTTCCTATTTTTTTTTTTTGTATTGGAAAGTACTATAAGTTCTTGAGGACTGAGGTGGATTCCCTGGATCCGGTACTTTCTTTACATCCTTAAACAAGCTGTTGTACACCAGACAAGTGTAAGGTCATGATAGTTCACAATGTGCATTCTGACCAAAAATGCAAAAGCATGAATTGTTTGCCAAATGCTGTCAATCCTTGGTGCATTGCTGTGTGCTCCTGAGCAATGACTGGTGAGTGTTGCTCTACTTGCTGCAGGCCTGAGGGAAAGATGGGGTTTGGATAAGATTTAATTTAATTTTAATTGACTGCAGGAGTAAGGATATCGGAAAGATGAAAGCTGGGCTGGGCTTATGATTTATTTTTAATCTGTCTCATTGCATTCCTCAAGAACAGGATATTTTTTTATTTATTTTTTTAATCTATGTAATGTATTGCTGCATAACCCTCAGTTATATACCAGATGCTGTCATTTACTTGGTGGCAGTCAGATACTTTTCCAGTCTGTTACTGCATAAATGCCAAGTTTTTAAAAGTATTTCTGGATTAAGTTGCATTTATGAAGATTGTTTTAAGAAAAAAAATATATAGGAAGTTTTAGAGTCTTCTTAAAAACTGTATGTCAAGCAATTTATGTGTTTTCTATATCTCCTGTAGCTTCTGAGACCCAGAGCAAGGAAGTTGGGACTGGGTAAGTCTTTATTAACTCTGATTAGTAAAAACAAATAAAAAAATCTGCTGCTGGATACTTTGACTGATCAAGTGTATAAAAGTCCAGAAAAAAAATCACAGCAAAGCCCAAAAGCAGAAACACATTTTCATCAAGTTGCTGTGAACAAACAAGCCTTTAGAATGCACATAAACCTCCCAGTGTGTTTCTAAAACGTCCCCCAGGAGCTCAGGGCAGATCCTCCCTCCTGCCCTGCACACTGGGCACACAATGGGCAGTGAACCATTGCTGCTGGTTTGGAGCCCATCCTGTTTCCTGTGGCTCCTGAGTGTGCCTGCTGCTTTGGAAATGGCATTTCAACTAGTGACCCATCCTCAAGTGAAGTTTCCCTGTGCGTTTCCATATTAAAAGAGTAAGGGCAATTATTTCTGTTTCCATCAGGCACTGCTTACATCCATGGGATGAAGTATGCCACTGGGAATTTCATCGTTATTATGGATGCTGACCTCTCCCACCACGTAAGGCTGTGTTTTGTGTACTCTGGGTACACTCTGTTACAACTCAGTTTGCAGTGGCTGCTGTTGTTTTACCCCCACCCTTTTTTCTCATCTGTCTTCTTTTCATTTCAGCCAAAATTTATTCCAGAGTTTATCAGGTAGGTGCCGATTATAGTATTAAAGTTGATCTTTATAAATCATTTATGAGGCAGCCTATGAAATTCTATGCTATAATGGGCAAAAGATAATTATAAGATTCGCTGTCTATGAAATTCTGTGCCATAGTGGGTAAAAGATAATTATAAGATTCCCTGAAGTAGCTCTTTATAAGACAATTAACAGGTGTTTGAATAATGTTCATAGCTGCCCGAACTATTGCTTTCCTCTCTTCTTATTTGTTCAGAAGTTTGTAAAATACAGATTTTGTACTGAAAGAATGATTGTTCTTACTTTGAAATTTGTACTGTGAAACATTCCTCCAGTTTTTCTGATAAAACTAATTGTTCATAGAAAGCAGAAAGAAGGCAATTTTGATATTGTATCTGGAACAAGATATAAAGGAAATGGAGGAGTGTATGGCTGGGATTTGAAAAGAAAGTTAATCAGGTTAGTACTTTTCAGCTCTTTACACAGAAATTTGTTACTTGTGAATAATAATTCCAAGTAGTCCATCCCTGTAAGCTGAACTCTTTAGTCCCCAGAGCTGCTGTACCTGCTGGGCATTGCAGACTCACCCTGAAGAGCAGAAGCACCCACCACTGCTGGGTTCTTTGGTTTAAATCCACCAAAGAACCCATTTGACTGGAATGGCATTGATGGGCTTGGGAAATGGGCTGAACAGTGACCTCAGGTTGGGACAGACATCCAGTTCCATCATCCAGGGAACAAGCTGAGACTCTGAGAGCTGGCAGGTGTGAGGGACAGCTCAGCCTCACAGCTGGAGTGCTCCTGTCCCTCCCAGAGAACAGGCAGAAGTTTTATTTATCCTGCAAAGAAGCTGGAGCACAAGCTGTGTTACAGTCTGAACTGCAGGTGGTATCACAGGGACTGGATTTGGATTGTTCCTGCTTTTTAATGGCTGGAGTAAGTGCCCATCTTTTCGTACTAAACAACTCTGATGTTTTCTTTCACAGCCGTGGAGCCAATTTTCTGACTCAGGTCTTGCTGAGACCGGGGGCATCAGATCTGACAGGGAGTTTCAGGTAGGAATATAGTTTGCAATTCCTAATGTTTCATTAAGAAACTGCTGGACAAGGAACTGGAGTAAGAACAGACCTTTACTGTGGACTGTGAAATCTGTTTGGAAAGGGTGGAAGAAACACTGGATTAGATTGCAAGAGCTGCTGCTCCCATGACCTTGGTAGAGATTTTTATAAATAGTAATGAGCTGAGTGATTGCAGTTCAGATTCCTACACACTGCCTGGATTTCTAAATTCCAGAAACTGGGCTTCAGATTTTATTTCCTTTGGAATTGTTTACAGGTTGTACAGAAAAGAAGTCTTACAGAAGCTGATGGAGAAGTGTGTTTCCAAAGGATACGTCTTCCAGATGGAGATGATTGTCCGGGCTAGGCAGTTGGGATTCACCATTGGAGAGGTATGGGCAAGCTGGGAGAGGCACCCTGTGCCTCCCTGGCAAGGGACACACAGATTCCTGACTTCTGGATACCTCCAAGAAGCAGCCAGGATTTTCAAATTAATACAAAGAAATTACATGTGTAGATTTCTGTTTTTCCAGCTTTGTCAATTCAGGTGAATGCCAAACCTGAAGTTGCAGTTATTTATTCCACTGGCTTCTCAGATCCTTCCCCTCTTCCTCTTGCCATTCCTTCAGCAGCACACAATTTTACAAGGTTCTTCAAAGGAGGGAAAGAAGTCAAAATACACCACAAAGCTGCTCCGAGCCTTTTCTTCCCTGCTTCCTATTGTACTGACATCTCTACTCAAGTCTTTACAAATCATTTCATTTTCTCCAGCAGCCTGATTCTATTTCAGATTCGTTCTCTGTCAATTATTGCCTTGTTATTTTCCAACTTTTCAGCTCTCTCAACTTTCTGCTTCTAAACTCTTTGAATGTGCTGTCTACAGTCAATGAAAAAACTCCATGCAATTGTTAGATTCTCTATCTCCAGCAGTCTGCTGCCTTTTTTATTTCACTGAATTGCTCTTGCTGGTCTCTTTAAAGATGATTCACTGGGAATCTCTCTGCAGGAGCATCTCAGAGCCAGTTCTTCATCCTCGTTTCCAGGACTATGAATTGTCAGAGAATTCTGGTGCTTGTACTTCTCTCTCTAAACTTCATGTGTGGCATTTCTCCATCGACACAGAGTAGAGCATTTCCTCACAACAAAGCAGCTCTTTTCTTCCACCTTTTTTACGTGTGGAGCAGCATCCCAGGGAAAAATATTTCTTCAGCAAAGTTGAGAATTGAGATTGAACTCTGCCAGTTTAAAAGAATAAATGGCTGTTGAGAGCTGACATAGGCTGTACCTGAAGAGTTGCACGCACATCTCTCCTGTTTTGCTGGCCTTCATCAGGTGTGCAGTGTCCTCCAGCACTTGGGAAATGCTGCCTGTGAGACCAGTGATAGAACCTCTTGTGCAAGGAAGGCAGAAGTCCAGAATCAACTCAGTGCTTAATTCCAGTGCTGAAGGGTAACACTGGAGCCCCCCATTAGATGAGATAGTAACTATTCTTCATCCTGGTCAGGAAATGCCACTTGTGCCATCCTGCCCTGGCTCCATACTCTGTGATTCCTGCCCCTTTCCAGGATTGTCACTGGGATCATCGAGGTGACACTGCTAAGACAGCAGAGTCACTGCTGAGTCCCTCTGCCTGCCTTTCTGGGCATCTTCTTCCCATCTTCTTGTCCTGGCCTGACCTGCTGGAATTGTGAGACCCTCTGGCACACGTGCAGGGGGCTGGGGATTTGGTGTGTTCCTCTTGCCAGGTGATTCCTGGTTGACACTGCCAGCAAAACACCAAGCCAATTTTTTTAGTGCCTTTTGCAATTGAAGTTCTTTATTTTAGTTCCTGAAGTATTTCAGTTTTGCAGACAAACATGATGGAAATGGTTGAATATCCCAACACAGGGTTGGCAGAATGTCCTGTCACGTGTCCCTTGTGTGTGCCCAGAGGAGTGAAAGCAGAACGTTCCCAACATCTCAGGAGTTCATCTGGACAGCGTCACTTTGTGAAGGAGACCACAATTTATGTGTTAAATGCCCGTAAATCCTGCAGATTATCTAT